CAGAAAAAAACGGAATAAAATTCTGCCACGGTCCTCTTACGACCTCCTTGGCGGCGGCTCCTCACTGGACGGGGCTGCTTCGGATTTCGGGGAGACGGCGACGATCGTGCGCTAAGGGGCGGCGGACGGTAACGTGCCCAACTCGGTACTTACTGGTGGGTACAGTGGTCGGTGGCACTTGTACTTGCAGCTTCTCACTTCTTTTGGAAAAAAAAGAACTCTTAACATTCCCGTTGTTCCTCTTCGCTAGCGTCGAAGACTCAATCCTGGCTTCCGGTGTTGCGTCGGTGCGGTTGTCACGTTAACCCCGGTACCCTTATCGCGGCTTCCGACCCACTAAAATTTGCTTCGTTTTAAATCCAACAGGGGTTTAATTCTTGTTTACATAACATAACCTCGGTTCAGCCACAGACAACCCATATTCAAATTATATTGTCAAATTGCAAATTCGCCACAATAATGCACATTTTAAGAACAAAGTGAATTGCGTACTAAATTAATTGAAATTTTATAATTTATTCAAATAAAAAATATGTCAAGTTACGACCTACTTTTCGGCCGAATTTATTCTGTCAACAAATTCTTGCGTAACTAAATCAGAAATCAAAGAATTAACCCGGTACCAATAATATAAGACGCAAAAAACTTAAATTTGTACTGTAAGATTAAAAGTATAACTTTGTGAATATACAGTGGGGAGTAAAGCTTCCAATTGAGAACGCGTTAAGGCACCATTAAATTTTTTCTTTGTTTTACGGACCAGTCTTTCAATCAATAAATCATAGAAGCTTTTCTTAGGACATCTGCGTTTCCTCTTTCGACCAGAGTTATGAAAGTACTTGCAGCAATATATTTCATGTCGATCGCATATTGACGAAATTTAATATATTCAGCTGTCTATCGTTTTTCTGCTAAGCAAAAAAAAATATGTTAAAATTTATTCTTCAGAATCTATACGTCTACAAAAATTTTAAAATTATTCAAATCGAGGATTTTATGTATGTTAAAGTAACTGAAGATCTCCCAGCATGTTTTGCAACTGGTTTAGTGTATTTAAAAGTAAAAACATTATTAAATTTAAAAACGCCCTTTCCACAAAGATATTCCATATGCAACAGAAGGCAAAAGAGTGTAAATTCAATTAAACATATTTTATCACGTCTGCGGCACAAAGTTGTTTTCCCTCTTGCTCCTTCCCACACTTAACCATGCTTTGCATGTTAGATTTGCGAAAATGTATTTAAGATGTGGGACGACACGGTGGCTGAATGCAAATCCGCCACTGTTTGCGGCCAGAGAGCTGACACCTCCATCCGAATTAATTTATCTCAGCGGTTTCGTCTGCAGACCTCCAAAAACGAGCAATCGCCGCCGGAGTTTTCCGGAATTTGGTTGTACTGGCTGCGGGTTTTGCGATAACGCTAGCGGAAAGATTTTGTTTAAACAAACCTGGAGCTGTAATTTGGGAGCTCTATGCCTATCGGGAAAAATAATCTGCTAGCGTGTTTGGCGAACCATTGATCGCAGTGTGTAATATGCAGTGCAGGGCCTCATTTAAAAAGTTTACAGAAGGAATTGAGTTCCGTTTTTGTAATTTTACAAGGGAGCTTTTGGGATTTTCTAGGGTATTGTGTGTATCGTTTATAATAATAGAATGGCTACGGATCAAGATCAAGATTATATGCCGCATCTTGTTTTTATAGTGGAACATTTTAAATGAAATACATCGCATAATCTTACCATAACAATAGCACTTTGGTTCTCCACTTGTTTTATATTGCGAACGGACATTTGAGTTTTATTACGAAAGCGAGAAAGTTGAAGAGGGACCTTAACAAGTTGTACTATTGGTTGGGGTATATTGTTCAGTAGTAGCATAGTTGGTGTATAATTTAATCGTTAGTGTAGCTAGAGGATATTCGAGGGCTGAAAAAATATCAAGAAACACCATCGAATTATTATAGAGAATATATACCTCTGAAACTTTTCACATGAACTGATATTTATTTTTAGAGTTTCAAATTTATTGTATTGCCATTATGTTGGATAGAATATAATAACGTTGTAATTTTTCATATTTGATACGTTAAATGGGAAAAAAATGCAGTCAGATAGCAATGTACCTGTGTCGATTTTTACTTATTAGACATACAATCTTTGAAATTACTAAACCGATTGTTGTCAAATTTTATATGATTATGGTGCCGATGATAAAACGCTCACCAAAATTTGGCTAATCATCCCCACCAACAATTTGATAACGTCCCTCCAGCTTTTTTTTTAAGAAATGTAATTTTCTATTATTAAAGTAGCACACTTCTATACTTCTAATTTATGAATCTGCCTTGATTTTTAGTCCTAGGCATCCCGATTTTCGCAAAAAAATCCAAATTGCATAATCACGTTTTATACCCGTGCTCCATGCTTAAAAAATGGTGAAGTATTAACGCGAAGGTTGCTGCTTCGATTGAGTCATGGGTCACAATTTTTTTATTGATCAAATCAAGAACGATTCATTTTTTCGAAAATTTGAGAAAGAGTAATGTTGCGTCCGCCTGTATTTAATAATAAAATAATAACAGCTTCTTATTCAAAATAATATTTCGAACATTTCGCCCCATTGCAGATTCATTAATAATTTTAGTCTCCTCCTCTGTTTTGAGGAGACAAAATCATTCAAATCATGTCAGCTTGCTACGACTTGATCTTTCTGCGTATAAACATAAAAAACGGAAGTTAGGCATGTACTGATAATATATTTTTCCCTTTGGTTATCTGTTTTAAATATATTTGACATTGTCGGTGCTGTGCGGACTGCGACCTCCCCGGCACACAGACTGCGGGGGTACTTTAACAGTCCACACGTATCTTTATTGTAACGTATTGGGGTTGTCATAAAAAGTATAATTCGCAATTTTTGTTTCATTTTTCGAAGAAGCTGGATCTGTTCGAATGTACTTCAGGGACGAGGGAAGTTCTGGCTAGATAACTTTAGACCAATTTTTATGTGAACAATATCATGGAGTTTTTTCATTTTGAACCAAAACATTCTAAAATTAGTCATAACAAAACTCTTCAACATTCACAGGGATTGAATATAAAATGTGTTTTTTAAATTGGAATATATTTTTCTCTGACCTAATTCTCAATGGAAATTATTTTCTCAGTAAAATAATACAAAATTAAGAGCACATTGTACAACATTTCCGAGTAAATACCGCTAGAAGATTTGTTCTTCAACTGCTTTGAACTTTGTTGCCATGTCTATTGTCAAGTAAAAGATCATGTTTCGTTTGAATGTTTGTTTACTCCCCGACGCAGAAAGGGGGGTGTTGTAACGCGAAAGCGATGAAAGTTATAGCTTTGACCTCTTTGTCTGTCTGTCTGTCTACCTGTCACACCATAGCTCCCAAATAGATCGACCAATTTCAGTGCGATTTTTTTTCCTTTTTAAAGGTGGTTTAATAGGGGTGACTGTTAGTTATATTTGATGATAATCACTTCAGACATTTTAAGATCATCATGATGTGTATGTGTTTGTCTGTTGCACCGTAGCTTCCAAATGGATGAACCGATTACAATGACGTTTCTGTTGTTTGAAAGCTGGTTCCTGACCAATTTCAGAACTTTTAAGGGTTAATTTTTTTGTGTTGGGATTTTTAAGTATTAACACTTGTTTTGTTGTTAAATCGAATTTTATGAATATTGTTACGTTGATCGATGAATAATAATTTACACGACTAATACAGCGATTGTGTATAAAATAATTCCGGCGCAACTTGACTGGACTCTCTTGACTTAACTGGCTGAATAATAATCACCGTTCCCGAAGGTGGCCTCTATTTAAACCCATACTTTTGCGATCGAGGTCTTTCTCGAATACCCATCGCGACTTCCGCTTCCAGGCTTTTCGAACGTTGCTTGGCCACGTCACCGACGATGAGTAACCCGGCATTGCCGTATATACTAGAGAGCTCTCGACCACCCATAGGCGTCGTACCGGGGTGGCGTATGGCTTTTTTTTTCTTAACACTATGTGAAATGATATTATGGAGAGCATAAATGCTTGACAAACCTTGTGGTGGGGGGTACTAGTGTTTTGTGGTTACTTTTTATTGTAGCAAAAAGTAATGAATTGAATAATACAAAAAGTTCTGTGCTTCTCAAGTTCTAGATAAAGTATTGCATTTTATTACAAAATTTCAATCCTTTTTGAAGAGAAATATGTTAAATGATTGATTACGGATTCAAGAAATATTTATCCAAATTGCGGCCTCATATCCAGTCCAATCCTTACCAACAAATGTAAGCGATTTCTTATATTTGCCAGAACGAACATATCAATATAGGAACATTCTTATTTTTGTTATGTAGTTAATCAATGGGAACAGGACAAATGAATTTACTAATTTTAATAATAACAATAATAATAATAATATAGATTTTATTGACCAACGGAACAAAAGTTCCAAAAGAGACAGAAGTTGTACAAAAAAAAATGAAGAAACATAATATTAGTAATTTTATTTCTTAAAACTAACGTCATAACTGTCCCTTTATTTATTAAACAGATCATCTAAACTACTGCACCGATTGTGGTCAAATTTTACAGGTATTTTAGGAGTATGATGTAGATTTAAACTTTGATCATCCCTACTAACAATATAATGCTGTCACTTTAAAATTTTGAATTGTAAATGCTATTTACATTTTATAAAATAATATAACGTGTACTATAGTCTATGAAATCGCCTTGATTCTGTATCCTAGGCATATAGATTTTCGCAAAAAAATAAAAATTGTGTAACAACATTTTACCATAATATGTATAAAAGGAACGCTGAGCCGCCTCCGATTATTTTTTAGTTCCCGAGCGTTTCCGTCTGTCTATCTGTCCGTTGCCTGTGTCAGTTTTTATTAGACAGATAATCTCTGAAAGTACCGGACCGATTGGTCTCAAATTTTATGTATGTTGGGAAGATCGTGTAGACGATAAAACACTAACTAAAACTTGTCTATTTATCGCTACCAAAGTTGAACATAAAATACCCTTTGGAATTCATACATTTTTAAAATTAGATTTTAAAATAAGAAATTACATCCTGCAACCTTTTTTTTCATGTTCCCTTTTGATGCATTAAATTTCATACTAGGCTTAACCCTACAAGTGGCTATCCAAAACTTGGAGATTTCCAGGGGCGCCTCGTACTAAACGACATTGTGACTTCCAGTAATCCTATAATTATATTGAAAATTATAGTATCTTGATCGTTTTCATTTGTACATACAACGAAGCTGAGTTTAAAGCCTTGTTTAGCAGTTAGTATTTCAATTTCTCGAGAAACATATTCTTGGGAAGTACCTTTTACATCAATAAAGTAACAGTTACTATTGGCAAAGTGGCAAGATATTGCTTTTCTGAACCCCTAAAAGAATAATAATTGTAGTATGAATGTACAAAATTGGGACAGAAGGTACTTGAGTGCTGTTTGGACCTGACCCATGTAGCAGTAAGGGATGAAAAAAAACGGTGTCTCCTTTCTCCATAACAAGATGGATTTTTGGTAAATGCTCCATATTCTGAACACCGTGGTATAGTACCTTTTTGAAGCCCTGAAAAACTACCTAAATGGACAACTGCTTGTTGTATTTGCAATGAAGCATATACTAAGAGTAAAATCTCAAGAACGGCTTAGAAAAAAACATTGTTGCAACTCGCATGGAGGGAATACTGAATTATAAATATACCCCAAGTTTAAATTAATAGTCTTTTTTACTTCCCGCGGGTAAGCAAGCGTATGTAAAAATTGATATCCCGTTTCCGTCGGATTGTCTATTTTATACCTACCTATTAATTAAATCACCTACTCCTAGTTGTTTAGCTACATGTTTAATTACCTTGGTAAACCTTAAGATTGTATATATATCTCGGTAATTCTTGATAGAATAACATTGCCAACAATTTCATTATGTAGCGTGAACAAATGAGTATTAACTCCTCTGTTCGTTGTGTCTTATACTATTACGTACATTTGGATAACTGTGCTGGTGTAGGTCTCCTTTATGACTTCCTGGAACCACGTAAAGACATCCATTACTCTCATCAACTCTTTCCATTGCGGTCCAGGATGCTGCCATTCGCTCAGCTGGTCTAAAAGGGAAATAATGAAGATCCTGAAAAACTCTCAATTTAGGTTAATGTAGTTTTTAAATCACGAAGTTTACTTGATGTAGTGGGTGCAACGACGCACCGGGATCAGAGTTTGGCGGTTTGTTGAAAAGCATAGATTGGACTGCGGTTACATTAGATCCAATAATACTTGCTATAACGTCTGTCACTGCTGTATCAGTAGCATATTGGGACAGAACCTCATCAAATAGGAAATTCTGCACCTGAACAATAACAGTTAGAAGAATTCAGAATAAAGAATTCAACCTATTTACAGTACCATATGTATGAGATATTCTCCTTTTACATGTTTGTGTTTTATTAATGAAGGATCTTTCATTATTGTCATGAAACCCGTGTCCACTTTACCATTACAAATATCCAAAAATCTTTGCCTGAAAACGATATAAATGTACACATTTCCACATCTTTTAGTAGTCAACGAAAACATTACCGAATATTATCCAGTAGAACATTGCTGACGTTATTTTTGATCACTATATATCCGTTGTCTTCGTAGAATTGCCGTTGTTTTTCAGTCAAAATTCCACTGTCTTGGGTATACCTAAATCTGTAAAAAAATGTTGGACGGTAAATCTGAAAACAATATTAATAAAACGTATATTTACTTTCCCATGTTGCAAATTATTCCAATGTGGATATAGAAGTAGTCGACAAAGAAGACAAATCTCTTTTCTCTAAAATAATAACAAACTACTAGTAAATTTCTGTCATTACATTATGATGAAGGTCCGCTTTTTTTGCAGGAGTTGGTTTCGATCCATCACATATTTAAAATAAAATTAAGAATATTTAACTTAATAATATTTAATGAAATTACTGTAAAATTACATTTTTGTGTGTTGGAGTAGTTACTTACGTGCGTTGTAACAGGAAGATTACTAACGTAATCAGTTTTTTTTCATTATTTATATTAACATCGTTGTGAACAATGTAATAATTTTTATGCTGATGACGTTAATAGTGATTGACAGGGTCACTTAGTCCAATTTATACTAATTGCTGTATTTTTTATATTGTTGTTTATGTTTTGTGTTGTTTTATAAATAAGATATGTAAGAAATTAAATGAAAAACATTTTTTTTAATTTGCGTTGTATGTACAACATGGACTGGTTAATATCTTATTTATCGTCTCTACACTTTTATTGATTATTATTATTCTTGTGATTTATTTAATTTTTTTATGTTTAAACAATTTCTTGTTTTACATAATTAACCTAAGCTAAGAAAGTATTATTATGGGGTCCATTTGGCGAATCACTAATTTTATATTTTCTCGACCTTTTTTTTTTTCATATGACAATCGACTTATGAAGACGAGGGTATCGTGTGATTTATTGAAAAACTATTTATTTAATATAATACCTGAAAACAAATTTTGTTTTATATATAAGATAATTTGTGTTATCACAGGTGACTCCCAAAAACTTGAAAGTTCCCAGGGGCGCCTCGCACTAGACGACTTTTAATTTTCCAATAATCCTGCAACAATGCAAGTATAATTTTATTCCGATTAATTTGGTCGGTATATATGTACCTCAAAACTGGCTTTAAAGCCTCTCTTGGCAGCCACTTTTTCAACTTCGGCAGAAACTTGTTCTTGGGACGTACCTTTTAGGTCGATAAAGTGGCAGTTACTATCGGCGTAATGACAAGATATCGCCTTTCTAAATCCCTAATTAGAAAATAACTTTAGTTAATATAAAAATACCAAGTTTAATAAAAGATACTTGAGTGCGGTTAGGACCTGATCCATGCAAAAGTACGGGGTGGAAAAAAACTGTATCACCTTTCTCCATAACGACATGAACTTTCGGTAGATGATCCATGTTTTGAATACCATGATAAAGTACATTTTTGAAGCCCTGAATTAATAAAAGATGGTAAACTTCTCATTGAATGAAATGAACTTTGTATACGTCTGGATAAGTGTGTTGGTATAGTTCTCCTTTATGGCTTCCTGGGACCACATAAAGACATCCATTGTTTTCATCGACCCGTTCCATTGCAGTCCATGAAGCCGCAATTCGCTCAGCTGGTCTAAATGGAAAGTAATGAAGATCCTAAAACACTCCAAGTTAGTCTTCAAGATAGTTATTAAATAACGATTTTCACTTGATGTAAGGGGTGCAAGGATGCACCAGGATCAGAATTTGGTGGTTTATTGATGAGCATGGAATGAGCTGCAGTCACATTAGGTCCAACAATACTGGCTATAACGTTTGTTACTGCTTCATCACGTGCATATTTAAACAAAACCTCATCATAGAGAAAATTTTGAATCTTAAATACAACGGTTTTGAAAAAAGTTATAACATTTTAATCAACAATACCTTGTTTATTAAAAATTCTCCTTTAACGTTTGTCTTTTTTAAAGAGGGATCTTTCATTACTGTCATGAAACCAGGGTCCACTTTACCGTCACAAATATCAATAAATCTTTGACTAAAAATGAGATTGAATATTTCCACGTTTTCTTTTCGTCGAATAAAATATTACCAAACTTCGTCCAGTATAGCATGACTAACGTTATTTCTGATCACAATGTATCCGTTGTCTTCGTAGAACTGGCGTTGTTCTTCGGTTAGAATTCCACCGTCTTGTGTATATTTATATCTACGAAAAAGATTAGTACAAGAAATGTTAACTAAACATTAAAAAATAGTATATTTACTTCCCCATGTTGCTAGCTTATTACAAACTGTGCAAGAATATTTCCAACTTGCAAAAATATAACTTATCGGCTTACTTTAAAACAGCGTCAAGTGTTTACTTTTGTTTATCAGTACTTGGGTACAGAGTTATTTAATTGTCTGTTATGTTTAAACTTTTTGATAACTCATGATAATAAGTAAGTTAAAGCATTGTATTTTATTGTTTTCATGGTCCTAAATGAAGTTGTTGTATTGCGTACATGAGGATATAGTTTTCCATAAAATTTTTTTTTTTATTTAACATTAATAACAGGCAGACAAACAGACCAAAATTGGGATGACATACCGTAGTCGTGAAACTTGGAAAAAATATAAAATTACACATTCGTCAAAACGCCTCATTACATTGCTTCATTTAGCTTTTGTTGAAAAAATCAAACAAAAACTAATACACTTTTTTTAACAAAAATTACAATTCCTATTTTGTTATAAATAACTGAATTGAAAATACTAAATAATAACCGAATAAATAATTAATAATTAATAACCGAAGATTCAGTCATTGTTACCGCAAAATTGAGGTCTGGGTGGGTGGGAAGAGTTATTTTGCTTACCTGCAAAACAATTAATATCGCTTTTTAGACGGTAATCACCCATTGGTTTGCATGCGTTTATAGATATAAAAATAAAGCTTTATGTATATTTGAATATTTACATATTGATGAGATTTTTAAAGCGAATAGGTTACTCTCCAAAATATTGCTCAATTTTATATATTAGTGTTGATTTTGTTGATTTTTATTTTCTAGTTAACAAAGTTGATTAAATTTCACAACGTAACAATGATTTATTGCAATCATTTCTGTTTCAATCAATGATATTCGTTATTTTGTATATTAGTAAAACTAGATTTGTGCAAACGTAGGAAACAAATCAAACAGAACGACTAATAAATATTTGAGTATTTTCATGTTTAAACCTGGTGTAAAGAATTATTCATTCAGAGTGATATCCTATTAGTAACAATCATACTTGTTTTTGAACAAAAATCATTTTCTAAATTTTATTATAGTTTGCAGTTGTGACTCCTATGTAGATATAAGTACTTAATTATCAGGATACAATTTTTGTCTCAATTGGCTAAAATTTTCAGTAAAATTGAATACAGAACTTATAATTACACAAAGCTCGGGTGTAATTAGTGAAAACAACCAGTAATTTATTTCACGCGTCGCAAAATTGTGCATAAACTTAAAACGTCGCTGTAATTTAAACCCAATCAAGTAATATAATTCCGGAATGTGGAAAGTTAAATAATTCTGGCGACCAGTCCCGTCATATCATTCATTCCACGAGAAGTGCGTCTCTCGAATTTTTGCCATATTTCTGTTGCATAATTTGCCGATGTCTTCAGTGCATGATTAATTCTGTTGAATAAGATACGAATTAATTTAGCTTCCATTTAAATTCACTTTTATGGCACAAAAATTTAGCATCAATTAATCAATAGTAATTAGCACAGCAGCTTCAAAAATTGTAGTATTTGAAATACAGTGTGATTCACTAACAGTCTACCCCTTTCCTCTTTCTGGTTACATTATGTGTATATAAATATGAACTATAGAAGTTTTCGTGTACTAATATAATCATATACCACATGTAACTATAATGGTATATTATGTGACAAGTTTTATAAACGCATCTTTAGTCACAAGTTTCTAAAGAATTTTATACACGTTTTAGATACTATATTTTTTGCGACTGTAAATTTAAACCATAATTATCCAAGTTTGGAAAGTACGCGAATAAAATGTTTTCCAGGAAGGAATCAGTTGTCTTACAGTTGCTGTTTCTGCTGCCTCATGAATCTCCAGTTGAATGCTTATGAAAATGTCTTCATTTTTGTTAATGTTTACAACCATCTTCATTCGCATGCTTTGAACAATGCCCTTTATTTGAGTGATGCCTGAAACCTTTTCGAAATGACAAGTGATAGATAATAAATCTCACTATTCAAAACTAACTATTTTTCAGATTGTTTTTAGCCAAACCGTGTTTAATGAACATGAAAATTGCCGAACACACTTAAGATACAACGTAATGAGCCCGAACACATCTTCGGTCCGTGTTTAAAGATTCTAAAGTCACAGATCTGTTCTGAAATTTTATATGTATTTTTGGAATATTGTGTAGGTGGTAAATCGTCACCAGAATTGCTCAAATCATCTCCATCAAAGAATTTTGCAGAGCAAATTTTATAAAAATAAAATCCGTTTATACTTGTAGTTTATGAATCCACCTTTAATACTTCTCGAGCGTAAGCTAAGGAAGTATTGTAATTGCGTCCATCTGACCAATGGAGGTGTCCTGTATCCGTCTGTCTGTCGTCTGTGTCGATTTTTATTAGACAGGTAGTCTCCAAAACTACTGGACCAATTGTTGTCAAATTATTGTATATGTATGTTAGGAATATTGTGTAGATGGTAAAACTCTAACCAAAATTTACCTGATGGTAAATTTTATTTAAATTTTATGAAGTAGGACACTCCTGGACTTGTCGTTTGTGAATCTGTGTTGAGTTTTTGCCTTAGACATTAAGATTTTTGGAAAACAATCAAAACTATTACAATATTTTGCACTTTAATTTTAAAACTGCAACCGTATTATCTAAAATTTTGCAAACGTTTTAAGGTTATCATAGGCATGATAAATCGTTAATCAAAATGTATTCGTTTGTTTCCTCCAAAAAAAAAAAAAATGGTCATCTCAAAATTTAGGCGAATAAATGCTATCCAAAATATGCGAAGTATCCTGAGTCCATCCTATACTGAATTATAGTAAGTAATACAAATCCACATTTTTTATAACAAGAAAGATAATACCAGTCACAACGTAAGGAAAAATTATCGTCCATTTTTTTACACTGTGATCGGTGGTATCAATTTTTTTTATATATGTGTATACCTATAAAAAATTTGATTTATTTTACTGTAATTCAGGCGCGAGGAAAGTTCTGTCTAATAACATGAGATCAATTTTTTACTTTCTTAGGTATATTTGGAAAAAAATGGTCCAAAGTTATTTCGAACTTCCCTCACCAATGAAGTACAATACAAAAACCCTTTCTTTAAAAACTTATGCCATTTGATTTTTCGAATTTTATTTGTTATAACAGCGTAAGAAAAAAAACTAGTGACGTAAATAACACCCCCACAGTCCTCGCGCCACAATATGAAATATATTTGATACAGACAGCGGGAAAACATGTTTTCTCAGTGTCTCAGTACATGCGTAACTTCGATTGTTTACGTTTATATTTGATTGATTTTGTCACCTAAAAACAGAGAAGAGTACTAATTTAATTAATTAAGCTACAATAGGTCGAAAACGGGCCGAATATAATTTTGGGCGAGCTGATATGATATGATAATAATTATTTTATTATTAATTAAATATAGACAGGGGCGCCATTACTGTACTCTTACATTTTCAGGACAATGAGGTGAAAAGTTATTGATTTGATAAAATAAGATCCCACCCGTCAGCTTCAATTCCTGGACCTTGGAAGCAAGTGCGCTACCAGTGAGCCACACTAATAAACAAAGTCAGTGTAGTTTCATAAACCACGCGTAGAGGATTATATTTTTTGATTCGCCAAATTTTGGTTAGCGTTTTACCATCTACCAGATATTCCTAATATATATAAAAAAAATTGATACAATCGGTCCACTGGTTTCGGAAATGATCTGTCCAATAAAAATCGGTACAGACGACAGACGGCAACGGGAGACCATTTTTTTCGGATTCTTGGGGTCATCAAACGTTGAGATAACTTGAAAGTAGCAAATCGCCCGATGGACCCGATCACAAAACTTTCTTTGCTTACGCTTGGGAATAAAAAATCTATTCAACGTAGAAATTACAAAATCGAATACTCTGAAATCTTGCCGACATTTTAAGGTTACCGTAAACACGGTAAATCGCTGATCTATTTATCCCTCCCAAAAAGTTTATTACGTCATCTCAAAATTTTGCCAAATAAACATTATCTAAAATGTGCAAAATATTATTATTTTTTTAATTGCTTATTATTCTACTCTTTGTAGAAAATGTCTGTCATTTTCTAAAAAAATAAAGTGATTATTGCAAATACAATGTAAAGAGCACACGAGATTGAGTAATTTGTTACTAAATTTTCTTTATTCTTTTACATATTTCGGTGACGTAATTTGAACTTTATTAAAATAATGACCTTTTAAGGTACAGTATTTTTAATCAGCAAAAGACGATATCGGTTGCAAAAACCTGTGGGTTTATTGTTAATCATAATACGCCGATGAAATTTCTGAACTTAATTCCAGTACATCCCATGTTTTCATACTTTTTATGCCTTCTTTATAATTAAAACGTTTGAAAAGCTTGTCTAAACTTGGTTCTCAGTACACCCGTATTTTATTAAAACTTAATTCAAAGGCTATATTCATCTTTTATTATGTCTTGATGGTTTTTTTAATACAGTACTAATTATTGCATGATTCAAAATCTTTGAAGTAAACTCAACGAGAGAATTTAACAACCAAAAATTTGAAAAATCATGTAATAACCTGTGGACATTATACTCGCAGATTACTTCCGAGTTTATACAACATTCATCAAATCAGCACTAGGAAGTTAAACGCTATGATTTAACATTTCCATTAAATGCCGCATCTGCTCGTAGCACCGAAACACGTAACTTCGGCAATACTCTCGCTGTTTAACAGGTTATTTACCGGCGTCCTGCGTCCGAAGTTTGAATGAGGATTGATGAACGCTCATCCAAAGTTTATTGGCTGCGATTTACGTGTCGCATCCTCTCGGTCGCTCGCCCATTTCTATCAAACGTCAACATAATTTAATAACGAAATGAACACCACAATTCCACTTTCTAATCAAATGCTATCACAATTTGCAGCTACTGTTGGAGCATCTGGAATGTCTTGTGTCAAGACACGAAAGGTCGCTCAGGATGACGGTGGTAAAAAGACAGGCGGCCGCTCAGTCAGGAGTTTCAAGCGAGGTGGAAGTTCTGAAGGCACTTAAAAGTTTATTCGAGCATCACAAAGCTTTAGATGAAAAGGTGGCAAATACTACACGGAAAACAATGTATTATAAATTACAAGTTTGCGGTTTCAGGTACGAGAGAGACTGAGAGTAGCGTTAGAAAGAAATTCGAGTCTAGAAGAAGAATTAGCTTCAACCAAAGAAGAGGTGAGTTACTTTGAGCTTTGATTCGTGAAATGATTTATCTTGTTTTCAGTTACAACAATATAAACAAGGAGTGATACCCTCTAATGTACCTGCCGTAGAAGATAAACCCAAAGAGAACGGACAAGTCGAACCAGGGGACCAAGTATTAAATGTTAATAATAAGGTGAATAATATTTTTATCGTGCGAAACACAAAAGGCATGTCATAACTGCTTCAACGTCGTTTATTTGAGGCGTTTTTTTCTTCTGCTTAATTAAAATTCTATTCAAAACTGAAACTTTGTTCGTGCTATCTTTAATTCTGGAGCGGCTTCATAAACTTGACAGTTTTTAGCGAGTTCACCTCTTTTGTAGATGTATAAGTGTAGCTTATCACTTTTAATGTACTCTTGCGTTCAACTTTTACTTAAATTTAAACTCATTTTAATATTTTTAAACGCGAATAAGCGTGTGCTGCTTTTTGAGAACGTAGTCATACTTTTCTGCTAATGTAGAGACTGCCTTTATTTTTGTAACAAAGTCAACATACTTAGTGTAAGTGGCAAAGTAAAGAGAGTTTAACTTAGAAAGGGACATACGCCCGAGTTCACCCTTTGTTAACTAAGAGTCCTTTAATAGATTGTCGAAAGATATCAAACTACTGTCCGTTTCAGACTATGATACTGTCGTATTGTCAATTTCCTAAAGGAAGTTAGATGTAATTGGTTTGAATGTTATTGTATTGTAAAGATGTAGCAATTAATTGAGTTGCGTTGTGGCTATTATAGACAATCATGAACAACATGTAACTTATCGAAAGTGTGTAATAGAGAGAGTTTACAGTGTTACAAGAAAAAATACCATACTTTTTTTTCTTAACCCTCTTATTATTGAAATTAAATTTCGTCATGGACATAATTTAATTAGGGTGTAGTATGTAATAGAAACGGTGTTTTTAATATACTATATTTTTGATATACGAGAATGTGCGATAACTTTTTTTTTCATGTATTATTGCCAAACATTTCTTCTGATTATTTCCATCCGTAATCGCTGACATTAACAATAACGAGATTTTGTATTTATGAGCACTGTATTTTTAGATGCCGCTATTCGAAATGGCACTAGTTCATGACTTCAATGATGTATTTCAAACATAAATCCGTTATGTTTTTAACTCAAATTGTTCCCATTACATCACGTAGGTTTGCGGTCGTTATTAAATAGGGAATTGAATCTATGCCGTCAAAGAATAATAAATAGCTCTTTAAAACAAAAAGTATTTATAACGTCGTAACTTCATAATATCGTACGTAAAGACATAAAAATTCCATCAAATACTTAAACTTATATTGGAATTGTTTTATTCTGCGTTGGAATTTTTATTTTTTGGATAGTGTGAAGTTGTGTTAGAAACACTAAATTATTGATTACATCTCATGTGACGTAAGTTTATTATGTGGAAGAGTTTTAAAAGTTTTAAACGTGTTATAAATATAGGGTGTTTCATTTAAAAACGTGAGTTCTTCTAACTTTCTCGTATGTAACAACAAATGGTTTCACTTGAAAAATTGCCATGTTTCATTATGGAAATTGATGGGGTTACACGTGACCGACGTCAGAAAATATTAAAAAGTTTCTCCAAAAACTTTTGGACGAATTTGCCGATGAAACGTAATCGAAAAATAAGAAAAATCGTAGACACGATTTAGGATGCTGGAGACTAATGTGTTAATTAATACTAGAGAATTACATTGAACACTATTTGTGTTTTATACACTGAAATTGCTGAGTCACATTAGCTTTTCATATAGATAGACTGGAACAGTAGTATTTATTTGATTAAAAAAGTCATTTGTGTTGCAATTTCAAGTGTTGAACATCCTCAACGTGAAGCAGACAAAACGATATAAGACTGAAGAAAATAACTAAAAACTTGTGGAAAAAAGTGTGATTCAGTTTCGAATTTTGAAATAAAATTTATTGATATTATGCAATTATTAAACACGACCCGTCTGATTTATTTTTTCTAAGTTTTGCTTGACAGATGTACTACGATATGATACATAGTGCACACTAAATTTGCGTTAGTGATACCCCTCAAACTACATTCTTTTGATGTTTAAACCAGAATAGTAGTAGGGTGATCTGAAAGGACGCACTATTATTTATTTTATAATACCACAAAAAACTTAAAAAATGTTCAGAATGAATCTGACAACAGTGGCTACTTTTTCACCTTTTTTAATCTATTTATTTAAATCGATATTCTGTTTTTGTAAGTGAACTTCAAGTTGACGTACATGTACAAAAATTACGAGCCTGTAAAATTAAAAACGTGTTTTGTTTTAACAGTTGTTTTACATATTATTTATTGTATTGCTAATTAGTAATTACGAACTTTATTTGTTGCTATCATTAAAAGTTTATTTGGAAAAATACGAAAAACTAAAATTTAAGTAGCACACAATATTAAAGAAAAATTGTATATTTATTTTTTCTGAGAATTTTTTATACAGGGTGAGTCACTCTAACTCATGATTACAGATTGAGAAAGAAGTTAATGACTAAAATTATATGTATACATACATAGTGCTGTGTAAAATGCATTAAAATTACGTTCATCTGTACAAAGTGTTCTTTTTTTGAGGTGTAACATGCTATAGAACAAGTTCCGTATATATTTTACACACTCTGATTGGTCTCGTTGCAGGCTCTATAACGTTACTTTATTTTTGAAATTCCGAAGTGACGGGCCATGTTATTTTTGAATTTTTTAGCAATACAAGGCTTCACAAAAAAATCAAAATAGGATTATTTTTACAATCTGTGTCAAAATATTTTATGGGGAAGAGATAATAAACATGCTTAAATTTTATTGTGCAAAGTGCTAAACTGTAACATTTTTCAAATATCGATATCTGAGTTTTTTCAAATACACTTCGCCGCACAATTACACATAATTTGTAATTTAAAAAAAAAATGTGGTGTGTATGGTTAAGTATTTTTGAAATGAGTAATTATCAATACCTAAACTTTGTCTTGATAATTTTTCCATAAAAAGATTGTAACGTTTTGTTGCTAAATACTAAAAATTACTTTATCGATAATACATAATTTTATAGAAAATAACTATCAGAGAGTGCAAATCCCAGAACAATAACGTGGCAACGTCACATCAGAAGTTCAAAAATAGACTATAGTCTTTGCCATTTCTATTGAAACAGCACTTGTTAATCGCAAATTTGGTAACGTTCATATTCAGACAATTTTCTAATTAAAAACTGTTGTCAATCAACTGAAAGCTGTTATCAATTGCTAAATTTTAACCAAAATCAACAGGTGGTGTTTCAATATAAATGGCAAAGACAATATGGTTTTAAAGCCTAGGAAGAGGCCAATGAGAATATGTTAAAATATGTGGGCAGGGTGTTCTGTAAAAAAAAAGTGTGTTATGTCCCAACAACACAACAGGAAATAATTTTAAAATAATTATGTTTACTTTTTAAAAATTTTGGTGAAATCGTTATCGTTTCTCCTCAAAAGGGAGAGTATTTTTCTCGTGAATTGTATGTGGTGCTCATCATTATGACTTAAATTTGATACTACTTATTCATTTTTGACTGGCTCCGTCATGTGCAGTACATTATATTATATTATATTATTTTATTTCAAATCGCTGAAAGCTTAATATCGTATTTTTGATAACAGTGATAACAGGTATGACAATTTTTTCTTTTGATTTTTTATTAAACTGGTGATGGAATTTTTACCGTTTTTAATATATGAAAATCTATTAGATTTATCTGTTTATTTTAAGACAACTTTTTTATCATAAGCCTGTGTAACTTTGATCTTTTTTTCTCGAAAACTCAATATTGAGTTGTGCTCCATTTTTGAGTACCCTAAATTTTTTACATTTTTTCAAAAATGTTTGTGTTTGAGTAATTTAATGAAGCGGAATTTTTGAAAGTAATCTGTGTACGAGTAGCCAAAACCTCTACTAATTTTAATTTATTAGTATAAAGTCATGATTTTAACTTTACAAACGAAGAATAATGGCTCACGTGCGTAACTAAATTCATTGCTTTATAAAAAATATATTTTTCAAATTTTGCAGTTTTTGTATTTAAAAAATGTAATAAACCTTATTTCTGTTAGCTTCACTATGTAATATTACTAAATGAGATTTTTCTTAAAAAAAGTAATTGTCATTTTCTGACTATGTCCTTTGTTTGCTACTACGACTTTACATAAAATTTGGTAAAATGTTGAATTCAAAAAGCTTAATAAATGAAATAATTTGATCATTTTCAAAAATTGATACTTCATTATTTTTCGCCAAATAACCAAATGGCTAAAAAAACATTTAGTGAACATAAACATAACAATTTTTAATATTTTTTTTCAATTTTATGGTAAAAGTTCTTTGGTATCATTTTTTTTAAATAAATGTGTTTAGATATTTCATGTTAATGAAGTAATGAATAGAGAAGATTTAACTCTTTTTTCTTTACGAACTAAATTCCGTAAGTTCATAAATAAAACAATTTTCGAGGGTCCCCTTATAGCTGACTCACTCTACACTATGAAAAAAAAAATTATTACGTTAATATAATTTAACAATAGAACAGAAAATAATATTGAATCATCATTAACAACAAAAACTTAAATTTGGGGCTTTTACGCGAAACAAGTTATCTGCTGTAGTTTAGTTTAATTATGATGATGCTAGGTAACACACATAACTAACACAAAATCATGTACCCGACAAGAGATTAATTGCTCCATCGCCAGACATACGATTTTTCATTTTAACATTTTCCAAAGCCAGACTTAAGAGACCGCCTGATATTTATAAATTGGATTTTTAACATTAAGTTAGCTTCATACCAAAGTACATGTACGCAAACAGATACAAAAACAGCTTTGCCTCCCACGCGGTTTTTACTGCGTGGTCGGTTCTTCATAATGTATAATTTGCAAAATGTTAAACGTATATTTACAGTATGTACGAAACTGTTTTGAATATTCATCATATGAAACTAATTGAATTAATTAAAACTTAATAATAAGCCGAATCGAATTCCTTACAATATGAAACTGTGTTAATTTTTCAGTAATTTTTTTTAAATTGTCTTTATTTATGTCAAGCAGAAGGGGTGTGCAAAATATAGCATAAAACTTTTTTTTTTATTTTGCGAGAAGCGACAACTTTGTCCAAAAGTTCTTTGGAGATGAAGGGTGTTGTGCATACAGGCCTTAATTATTTTATTAAATAACAGATGGATGTGCCTAATTTCAGCAGTTTATCGTTATAAATAACAAAACGTTGAATGAACTGTCTATAATTTTTAATAAGCTTGAAAAATTTCGTAAACTGTTAGCCTCTTACTAATTGAAGTGGGTTAATCGCACTAAAATCATAACTAGTAATAATTCGTTGCATGTTTAATAATAGATGTTGTGATGTGGCATGTTGTTGTGGGACTTTAGGCAGCGTCGAAGCCGCGGCTCACAAACGGCGGGGTGGAACCGGAGACTGACACCGCTGCGAGGATAGCCGACCTTCAAGCAGCGCTGGAACAGCAAGTGAGTCTAATCTGTCTTAACTAAAGTCAAGCTTTCACACTATAGAAATCTCCATGCACCTGGGCTAAAGTCTAAACGATAAATTATATTTCGCATCTGACAGACTGGAGAAATTAGCAACTGGCAAAGGCGGGTAGCGGAGATGCAGAATCGCGTGGGAGAACTCGAAGAGAACTTGGCGAAAGCACAAAAAGAACTCCTCAAAGCACAAGACGCCAACTCCAAGTTACAAAGGGATCTGAGGGAGAACGTAGCGCAGAAGGAAGACCAGGAAGAGCGGATTGCCACGTTAGAAAAACGTTACCTTAATGCTCAGCGGGAATCCACGTCACTGCACGATTTGAACGAGAAGCTGGAACAGGAATTGCAGCATAAAGAAGCGCAACTTAAGGTATTTATAGTGGTTGAAGTGCAAGCGAAAGTTTCCACTTTGACTGAATGTTGCTTTTGAAGAATCTCTTGTATAAACAGTTATTATAATTAGATCGGCCTTGCAAAACAGATACGTTTGCTAATAATACTTGTTGTGCAGTTGCAAGAGGAGAAGATCGCTGCAATTCAGGAGAAATTGGAATTGGCCGAGCAGAAACTCGCCCAGTATTCGAAGTTACCTGAAATGGAGGAGCAGTTGAAGCAGCGCATGGAGGCGCTGACTCAGGTGAGACCTCAGGTACGAAGCTCTCAGCTCACTTCTAATGTTTTCTAATTGTAATGTGTATTAAATCTAGCACCGTTTTTCGATTGGTCTCGAACACGTTATAGTTGTTTCTTATGTCTAACTGTGCACTACCGAAGCGCGTCTTTTAGAGCAACTGTTGCTCATTGTTGTGGAGCTACCTTCTGGATGAACACGTCCCGGAGGGATAAATAAACGGCTCTAAAACGATTCGTTTGTCCGATTACTAAGTCAGTGTTGCCAAAATAGAGCTTTTGATGTATATTTAGATAAAAATATGTCTTAGACATTCGTAGCAAGTGAGCCTTGAGCATATTGACCATTTTCTTGTAGATGATTTTTTTATCATCACTGGGTGACTAGGGCACTTGAATTTTTACCTCCTAATAAGCTGAATGCTGATGTTGCATGTTTTTAATCAGTACCATAATGAAATTCTGCCTGAATTTAACAGCAAGATTGGAGTTCCGATATATGTTTTGTAGAGCATGGATAACGAACGCCAATTACGACTGTTTAAAATCATGCCAAAGTGTGAACAAAGCATGCTCGACGAGAATTTTTTATATTCATATTTTATTTTCAGTTTTTTGATTGAACTATAATTTTGTAATTGCGTAGGGTATTGTATCCCAACTGAAAGTTCAAAATCCGTTGAAATATCTACTACTGCAATAAGCATTAAATTCCGTTTATGAACCTCGTAAAATCATAGCACTTCCGGTTTCAAATAAAATAGCCTTCTCTTTATAGTAGGAAAATTTATGTCGGTACTATTAAATGAAATAAGAATATTTTCATATCAAACTTTGTCGTTTCAATTTCTGGAAATTTTTGCTGACAAGTTTTTAATACTGAAATCACAGTCAAAAATGCCTAGAAAGAGGGCAAGACAGATTACACTAATAAATTCCGTTAGACAATTGCCTGTATATTGCTTTTAAACTGACAGCGATGTGATTTCCGGAAATTTGATTGATTTAAATGTATAGCATACCATTTTAGAGCAAATACAATTTCAATACTCCATTATTGTTGAATGAAAAATTATTAGTTAAATATTGTTTCTACAATTGGAAACGTTTTCGTTTCGGTAAACATTTCAATCTGACCGTAATTTTACTTTTTTGTGTAACTCGTGACAATATGTAGTTTTTTAATGAAAGCTATTTAGAACACTGCTCGCAGAGGAAACTTCATTTTTGTGAAAAGGTTATGCAATTAAAATAATAAAAGTTCTCTTTATTTTAGGTGAAAACGGAAGTACTATGATTTTCTGATGTCTAGTGTTTTTTATGAATTGCCCATGGTAAAGTTATTCAAATGCAGGCAGTAGTTTTAAAATAATTCCATTCTTCGGTAAATACCACACTGCGCCGATTTACCAAACTTTTTTAATCTGCTCAAAATTTTAGAGGTACTCACATTTTTTAGCATCGTAGTTTTGACAACGCCAGCAACAAATTTTCAAATCTGTTTCCAAAATATAGTGTTAAAAATGCTTCATTTTCCTTAAATTTTGTTTTTCTCTTCCATCAAAAACGTTACATCAGGTCCGCACATGTGATATTTTATTTTTTAATTAAAATTATTGGCTCACAGTGTACATCCATTGTTTAATATTGGGTGATTTTTTAAATTTCTGCTTTAGTTAGCGCGCTGGTGCCAGCAGAGTAAATAAAACCACTGACGTAAGCATCACGGCTAACTAGAACAGAAATTTAAAAATCACCCGATATTATTAATGATTTAAAAAAATCGTTCACAAAATTCAGGTTGGTGCAGTTTGGTTCTTTCTTTGGGATGGAAGATTTTATCGGCGCAGTTAGGGTATGCCGAAATATTGTGTACATTTCAACACGACATTTTGACAGACTGTGTATGGATATGGTGTCCTCACTGTTCTTTTTATCAATATTAACGATTTAATAATATAATAGATCATGTAATTTTTATAATGCAGTGCTCAATTTTCCAGTAATAACAAAAAGCTTAAATAAAAGCATGTTTAAGATGCTTTATATGGAGCAGCTGGGCTTATAAACTAATAAAAAGTTATGTTTCAATGTTATTGATATTCATCTGGAAGTCGATTATTAGAATTAACTGCTGTTTTTTTTTACATATTTCACATTATTTCTTCAGGCTTGTTCTTAACTTTATGAAATTGAAATCCAACAGCAACGTTGTAAATAATTGTTTTTGGTTTATATTTAACTTTCAAAAGATTGTCCTAAAGCCATTCAAAATAAAAGTGACAGCGTATATCTCAAATGCTGCAAATGATTTAGGTATTTCGTTTAAACCTTATATGAAATACGCATTTAAAAGATAAATTGAAATTAAAAGAAGCCATTTATTGAGAAAAATGGCGAATATACTGGCAAGTAAATTAATTGATATTAGAATTAAACGTATCAATTTAATTTTATGATTTAAAAAAAATTCTTTGGGTTTGTGTCAATAAACAATTTTTGCAATGTTGCTATTGAAATTTAATATTCAAATTAAATACAAGCCAATCTTATAACATTAAAAAAAAAACAACAAGAAAGCACACGTTAACCGGTTAATGCTAGAAACAGTTGAGTATCACTTGAATTTAGATCATTTTCTTTTGTCGCCCATAAAAGCCAACTGCTCCATATTAGTATATCTCCAGAAATGAAAATACGGAATATCTATAGTCATATACAAAAGCTCAGTAATAGGAGTGTAAAATGCAATCTAATAGTAAAAATCTAGCGTGTTCTATAAAAATTGAAAAACAATCTGCTGAGATGTAGTGTATTAAGTATAATAGTTGTATATTTTCACTTTACGAGTGCGAACTTGTACTAAAATTCGATGTTTCAAAAGCAACTATGAAAACAGCTATTCGTTTAATATCTGCCTATTGCTTTTTTGTGTTAATATATGTTTCTGTGATGTATTTGTGATTGTGATTACCGTTGAATAGTGATTTACCAGCATTTCTAGTTATTAGAATTTTGGAAAAAAATTAATTATACCTTACAACCGTATATACAAAACTTGGTAATAAAAAAGTTATGTAAATTGTAAAAAATGGCCTGCGTTCTATTTACCAAAGGAATGTAACTTTGGCCACTACATTTTATGTAAAAATGTAATGACGGAATTGACGTGTAAATGAATTGTGCCACTTGTGCCATCGTAAACTACGGAAACTGTTGGACACAAGATATTTACAACGACAAATTTATAAAATTTTGAGGAATAAACCAATCCAGGCTGGGTAATCACCATTTGGTAAATAATGGCGCGGACGGTACTGGTCAAAGTCCCAGCGTAGAGATCCATGCGAATTAAGCAACTATCCGGAGTCAAGACTTGGATCGTCCTGTACAGCTCGGTGTGTCAGCCCCTCAGACGTTGAAGGGCAAACTGGGTACGGATTGTGTAATGTACTTAATACTTGGAAAATGTTTATATAGCGTTAGTCAACATAATATTACAGTTGAATTCTCAATTCTGTGGACTTTATGACAAGTTTTAGAAACTATACTCTAATCTAGAACGGAAGCTTGATGCCGTTTCTGGCTCACTTTAACCTCATTTGATGATCTGAGCCAGAAACGGCATCATGTAACTATTAACAGCTAGTCTACCAGGAGTACCAATTACCACGTTTTGTCTTGGAAAAATTACATCGGTTCAGTTTTAAGTAGTAATTTGCTAGTGAGGTCTGGAGAAATTTTAAATTTGTACCATTCGCATAAAACTTGATCAACAAATGTTGCCTTATCATTTTATTAAAAAAAAAACCAGCTAACTTGCTGCATTCATTTATGCCATTAAAACTTGATGGTGAAATGAACCGATTTTGATAGCTTAAAATACGCACTACAAATTGTGGCTAAACTCACATCCCTATGTAGGTAATACTAAACAAATTCCTTGGCACTTTTGAGATTGATGAGATCCTTTTTTATTACCAAGTTTTGTCTTCAGTTGGTTCAATTTAGTGTACAAAAAATATCCTTTTTTGCAAATCCACTCCAGACATACTTCTGTTTAATTTTGGCCAGACTAATACTAAAGAACAAAACTGCTATCATAGACCTCTTAAATAATCTGATTTTATTGGTAGATTTTAACCCCTTTGGTGGCCTTTTTTATTGTAAATTAATATAAATATGCTTGCCAAAAATGTTCCACTTGATATATACTAGATGGTTTAATCAGTCAAAGGTCTGATTTGCAGGTTGAGATGATTTAGGCAGAAACAAGAAATAGAATCCTAGAGGTAAATGAAGAACTGGGCATTTTATAATTTCTGATTTATAATACGATATGTAAAACCACAAATCTAATTTTTTGGTTTCTTTTATTATCACCCAGTCTTTTACAAGTAGTATCGATTATGAGTGTAAGCTTTTTTCATGTCTGTTCATCTTGATTGCATAATGACATCTCAGAAACTAAACCCAGTATCCAAATTATAAAGTCCACCTTGTATATACATATAATGTTTCTCGAAAGTTGCCACCATCTACCAAACTATAGACTATAATCAAAAAACAAAACTGAGAGTGGGCGATAAAGTCAAAAGGTACACTAACTGTAATTGTTTAAATGCCCACCATTTTGTGTCTTTATATAATTATGCAGACTGGGTTGGCTTTATTTACACATTTAAGTAATCTTTCTTATGGTACCTATTTCATAGAAAGGTAAGTACGACTGTACTAGTAAACGATCTTAGAAAATTTCACGTACCACTTGTACCACCTTTGTTTTTCATTATTTTCAACATATGCAAAAATTCCCGTCGAGCATGACTCGTAATTTTGTCAGTAGAGAAACCCGGACCCTTCCATCTGCAGGACTGCGTTATTTTCATTATTTTTGCAGGCCCAAGAACGCCACGGTTCCGCCGAGGACCGCATCCAGCGGCTCGAGGCGAACCTCGACGAGAAAAACGCTGAACTGATGCGCCTTAACCAAAGACTAAAAATGAACGAAGAACACAACTCCCGCCTTTCGGCGACCGTGGACAAGCTCCTCTCGGAGTCGAACGACCGCCTTCAGGACCACCTGAAAGAACGAATGCACGCCCTCCAAGAAAAGAACAACCTAACCCAAGAGCTCGAGAAGACGCGCAAGATGATGGAGGAGCTCGAGTCGCAGAAGGGCGAGATCATGAAGGAGCTGTCGAAGTCGCGCCTCGAGATCGACAACGTGAAGAGGCAGATGCTGCAGCAGGAGATCGCCTACAACATCCAGCAGACGGACGCCTTGACGCGCTCGCTCTCCCCCAACGCCGTCGACCCGAACAGCTTCTCGCGCAGCGCCAGCCATTCCAGCTTCGACACGCATTCCCTGCCCCGGAGGCCCAACAAGAGCCGGACGCCCATCGAAGAGGACCCCAAGCTGCCGTTCGGCTCGCGCTCGATGGCCGAGCACGAGTGGGAGAAGCTGCAGCAAGCACACGTCCTGGCCAACGTCCAGCAGGCCTTCGACGTGTCGAGTGACGCCGAGGGCGACGACAACGACAGCCTCTTCAGCACGGCCGACATGCTGTCCCCGTCGGGCCACACTGACGCGCAGACCCTGGCGATGATGCTGCAGGAGCAGCTTGACGCCATCAACAACGAAATCAGGCTGATACAGGAGGAGAAGCAGAACACGGAGGCGCGAGCGGAGGAGCTCGAGTCGAGGGTCGGGAGCATGGAGCACATGAATCTCTTGGCGAGAGGGAGGAGTCTCGAGCGGCAGAGTCCACCTGTAAGCGGTAGATCTACTCCAAAATCGCACCATTCTCCTCAGAGGGATTATATGCATAAGTATCATACGGTGAGCGGGTTTTTCGCTACTAATGCTTGTAGGAAGGATTCACCGCGCAATGCTGGGTGCAGTAACTGGTCGAGGGGCTTGCATGCTTGTTTTGATGTTTATGAAAGGTGACGTTTAGCGTAATGTGCGTTTTTGCGTCGATTCTGAGAGAGAGAATTTTTTTGTGTTTATCTCATTCAAGACATATTTGCGTGGTTGGGAGACCTGAAGCATTTTGATAAAAAAAAATAGGCAGGCGAAAATATTGAGACAGATTTATACCTGTACTGTACGAGTTTAAAAATGATAGAAAATGAATTTTACAGATTTTTTTTATATTTTTAAGCTGCGATAAAAGTAATCTTGAGACTTCTCGGTTATAGCTGGAATTCCACTTTTTCATATTTTTACATAATACCCGTAAGCGTGCTATCGATAGGGGTTGGTGTGTTGCAAAATCTAAAAAGCAGTGGCATTCCTTATGTCGTCTACGTTTCCACTGCCATTGATTGATAGCTAATGTAACAGCCGATGGGATCTATAGAAAACGTATCGTCACGAAAAATTCTATTTAATGCGATCCGATTTGTTAGATACGATCGATGCCTATGAATAAACACATACCTGTAAATTGTACTACTATACAGATTGTATACAGAGATACCTTCTATGAGAAAAAACTCTCCATGGGCTCCCAAAATAATACACCATGGGTACCCAAGAGTCTCCCGAATTTAAAAAAAGAAAACACTGCGGCATTCAAGACTTTTTCAATTCATAAAAAATGAAATACTAAAACCTCAAAAGATTTTTTCAAGTTCACCCAGCAACAAAGTACTAGATTCCTTTAAATTTATGCGAAAATAAACCATCAGGGGACCTAAAATTAACTGCGAACATTTTAAACGTAGGGTTTTGAAAACTTTGACAATTTTTAATACGTTAAATATTTTTAACTGCTTACTGATTTGTACCTTCGCTTTATATCAGGCAAACATTGTTGTCAAATGGAATTTTATCAAATTATTACAAAAACAACACAAACATATCTTTGTACACACTAACTGAAATGGTAATTAAACAAGGTCATGGGCGAGGGAAATATTAACTAAAAGTTTTACTACTTATTATTGTGATAATGGATGTGTTGTTTAGTTGTTCAACGCATCAAAAGAACCAATTTTAAAATTATTATAACTCCGCCAAAATGTGAGAAGGATTTTTTTACTATATTTCCCAGACTCGCCAGTTGATTGTTAGAGCGTAGCGGAGAGTTAATCCGTCATTTTCCAAACACCCAGTATAGGGCTCACTATTGTTTTAAAGACTCAGTAAGCGAAGATGTTTTTTTCTTAGGTTGACGTCAGGTCAGATTTTCTTTTTAAATAATTTAATCCTGACATTTTATCTTTCAATTCTTTGTTAATTCAAAATGCCAAAAATAATTTAGGCCGACAAGAAAGAAACCGTGAATCAAAAGATGTTTTGCTGAATGCAAGGAAGATTAGACTTTACTAATAAAAACATTTTTAAAAAGCTGTCGCTTATTTTCGAGTTTTTTTTTTTAATATTCAGTAATTAGAATAGTGTAGGTAAATAAATTAATGTTTTATTGCAGGTCCGTATAAATTCAATAACTGATATTTTGAAGCAAGATTTCGCAGTAATAGACCTAATAGGGTACTTGCACTCAACTGCCAATTTTAATAAAAATTGATGCAAGTGTTCCCTATGTAATATAGAACCTAAAGTCCTCAACAAAAGTTGAAAAAAAAATTGTAAAAAATATCCAGAGTCTTAATTCTTGAGTTTTATTTTAAAGGCGGAACCTGGTCTCTGACGTCATAAGCCATAGTCCAATCATATCAGTGCTGAACATGGCAACATTGAAGAACTTGTTCTTCAATGACGCGTACATAACTTGAGGTTATGTACGTGTCATCATTGACCTATTACGTGTCATACATAACCTCTTATAATTGTATAACCTATTTTACGATGTCGACTCTGCCAAAAAAGAGCGTTGGACAAAATAACGCGCGACTAAAAAAACCGCGACAAAAGAGCGCCGAGACAGAAAAGCCCAGTAATTAAATAGTATGGAAAAAAAAACGCCGAGACAAAACAGCACGCGATTAAATAGGGCTGGGACATTTTATTGCGCCATGAAATAGCGCGGCATTTTTAGCTTTGTAGTAGGTTTGTGCCAATCCAAAGTTTTTCTCATTTTGTCAAATTTTCAAACGCCCGTCATGGAATTTGCGAAATCACAAAAAGGTGGAAGAATATTGTTTTATGGTGGTTACCGCTACCGCAAAGACAAAGAGAACATCCATTCCGTTTCTTGGAGGTGTTCTCAAGAAGGATGGAAGGGGAGATTGCTAGTGTCAGAAAATTCAAGTGAACCGACTTCAACAACGGCTCATAGTCACGGCTCAGATTCGGCGAAGAGAGAAGTCGGAAGGGTGAAGCAATCTATGAGGGAATTGGCAGAAACTTCCAAAACCAAGGCAGATAATTCAAACCTCCATCGGAAGTACTTTCAAAGAAGCCGCAGTCCTCTTACCGACATACGACTCGAGAAGCTCTGGTAATTTTACCTGCCGAGAGGAAGTCGTAATTGAAGAACACCACAGGATTTCGGGAAGAGGTGTACATTTTCTGCTCTTAGACACAGACTTGGGAGATAACCAAAGAATTCTTGTTTTTTATCACCAGAACGAATTTGGACACATTAAAGGAGTTTCGGCACTGGGCAATCGACGGTACATTCAAGACCTCGCCTCCATTATTTCAATAATTATTTACCGTGCACGTAATAATAGACGGAAAAGCGATTCCTGTGATATTCGGTCTATTGCCCAACAAGCAAGAACAAACTTACATGAAATTTTTCGAAAGCATACTGGAAGTGGAACCAAACTTGGACCCAGAAACAGTTTTGGTGGACTTTGAAATAGCATCTTTGAGTGCAGTCAGAAGGTGTTTCGGGCAAGCAAGAACCGTCGGCGGTTTTTTCATCTAAGCCAAAATTTATGGCGAAAAATTCAGCAAACCCATCTAACGGAACAACAGCGAAGTCAGAATAGGATGTAAGATGTTGCTTGCTCTCGCATTTGTACCTGAAAGGGACGTGCAGTTTGCGTTGGAGATTATCGATGAAAATTTTCCTCATGAACTGCTACCTTTTGTAGAATATTGGGAGAAAACTTACTTCGGAAAACGAATGCATAATTTGAGGTCTAGGTACGATATCAACATCTGGAATATGTTTGATCGAATGTTAACGGACCTACCAAGGACGAACAACTAGTTGGAAGCTTGGCACAACTCTTTCAAACACTCTTTGGATTGCCAACACCCTCAAATCTATAAGCTTATTAGACAGAGAACAAAGTGCTACAAAAATGCATATGGCGAGGTACAGATCGGGAATAAGAGTTTGAGAATCGGCCAACTGTAAATATGTTCAGCTGAGAAAGCGGTTGAACCTATTGGTTTCGGAGTACTCATTTGTAAATGTTGAAAACTATTTGAAATCTGTGGCGTTAAACTTATCACTTTAATCGTTTATTGTTTGTTTAATTTTTGAAGTCTGTTTCTAGTTCTGAAATAAAGTTGAGTTGATTTTGTGTGGTTTATTCATAACCGATCTATTTGGAGGCTATAGTATTACCGTTTTGAGACGTTTTATTGGGCTAGTAAAGGTAATTTTTAACATTTACGTCAATATTCATATTAATATTCACATCAGGACATCATTCTCGCTTGTCTACCCTTTTCTGACGTGTTCTATATGCCTAATAGTAATAAGACAATACATAATACAATTAATAGGTAACTATTAATTGTCGCAGATTATTTTGTCGCGTGCTAATTTGTCCTAGCGCCCTTTAGACTCTAAATGATCTTGTCCTACGCCATTTTTTACAGCGCTTTTTTGTCCCGGCGCTGTTTTGTCGCAGTTTTTTAATCGCGCGCTATTTGTCCAACGCTGTTTTTTGGGAGAGCCGCACTTGACAGTACAGCCGACCATAAAAAGTCCCTATATTAATACGGAAACATCCTCGACTTGGCAACAATGTATGGCTTATGACGTCACGTGCAAAAGTGCGCGTGATTTAAATATTAATTTTTAATAATTTATTGCTACACTATGAATAATCCCATGCACTTTTTACAACAATACCCTTGTTTTATGAGTTCTGCTGAATCATTTTCTGGCTTTACTCAAAAACGTGCAAGATGCCTATTGGTCTAAAATTGAAATTTCTAAATCACGTGTTTTAGAGAGACTTTCAGTCTCTTAATTGGCAATATAATTCACGAAATCTATATTTACCTTTAGATATATTATTTACAAATGCAAGAGAAAAGTTAGAATGTGAAAGAGGGCGAAATTTGTACGAGATTTTAAAATCCATAAATATTGTTTAGTTAATGGTCGAAAAATTAATAAATGGAGAAATATTTTAATTCGGAGTTGGATGACTAAGCAATTAATTCCTGCGTTAACAAGATTACCATCTAAGTGTGTTGTGATAATGGATAATGCACCATATCATTCATATCACCCAATACTATTGGAAAAGCTGTTCACGTTGAATTTTATCAAGATCAAGTGTTATACACAATTTGATTAAAATTTTATTAAAAATCGGTTGGCGTGAGAAACATATGTTATAGATAAAATTTTAAATGAAAGGTGCATGAAGTTCTTAAATTATTGCCAATACAACTTAATTGAATTGGCATGTGTGTTTTCTAAAAACTATTACAATAAACATATAAGTGAGCAACGTTAGAAATAAAGTTGCCAATTTCTGGTCGGAATCACTTCTGAATTTCACACCCAAAATGTGGCAACATTATTGTAAACACTGCGAACAATTAATTCCTTCAGATTGGAAAAAAACATGGATAATTTTTTTGTTGCCAATATTCCTCCATTATTTCTTTGGAAGATTCTGAATTGGGATCAGATTTTGATGATTCAGATTCAAAATTTGTTGTAATTATTA